AGCAGCACCGGGGTCGCACGGTGTCCCCACGAAGAGTTTGTTCCCCCGCTGTGACTCGAAGCAAAGGTCGGGGCTCCTGATGGAAACCGAAAGGCGTTAAGGCTGAGGAGTGAATGAACGAGGGTGAGTCGAGTATTGAACAATTCCTTCCCCCCGGGACAAAAGCTGGACCGTGCAGCACCGTCGTGTCTCCAGGCTCCGTGTTTATCCCGTTGGCTTTTAAAATACCCTTTGGCGGTGCAGATTTATCAGTGGGGACACAGCAAACGTCTCTTTGGGAAGCAATTAACTGCCCTGGGGCTGTGTATGTAAGGGTGGGGACCTTTGAAATAAAGGACTTGTGTGTTTCGTGGGAAAACCCGGTTTTGGTGTGTGTGTTGGTGTCTTTCTTGGTGAGGCTCAGGATCTCTTTACACCACCTAAGTGTTTCTGATGAGGTCTGGTCTTTGCTGCCAGCACCAGGAGGTCTTGAATCATCCCTGGGGGATCCTTTCCTAACCTTTATAGAAACCCCAAACCCTTTTTCCTAGGTGAAGGGCCATTTTTCTTGTAAAAAAAGCTGTTTCAAAGAAGGGGAATGAAGGGCAGGCGAGAGGTTAATTGAAGGTGTGAGAGGTATTGCACAAAAATAAGATGCAGTTACTCTGCATCTTTTTTAATAAAAACGTGAAAGGTTGAGGGTTTGACACATCCAAAAGTCTGTGTAGCTTCTCAAGGGACAAAGGTGCTCAGGGCGTCGGTTTTGATGTTACAAAAAATGCAGTTATAAACAAAACACCACTTGACAAAAGCCTGGTTTGTGTTGGCTGCTGTGTTACCTTTGTAAACCAATGCGTTGATTTTTCGGTGTATTTCTTGAAGTGGGGGTGGAAGCTCTTAGGCTTAGAATATGAGTCAATGTTTAGCTTCGATTACATGTTAAAGTGTTTATTTTTGCTGATGGGGAAGAGAAACCCCTCAAAGCTCTTTTATTTCAGTTGGGATGGGAGAGGGGTTTTCTCCCTGGAAAGAGAGGAACTAGTTTAGTCCTAAGTAAGATGTTCAGTTCCTTCCTGTGTTCGTTTGTTGTTAAAATGCCTTTCTGTTTGATATGCAGAAAATCCTACCAACCCCAGGCTCCTCTGGGTAACCCCCTGAAGGGCTGCAGCAGGCCAGGAGTGAGGTGCAGTGCCCTGGGGGCTGGCGGGTTGGTGGCTGTTATTCCTCAGTGGGACACAGAAAGTGCTGCAGGAGTACCCAGGGTGGTGAAATCCCGGCACCTGGAAGAAATTTTAACTAGTTTAGTGCTTTTCTCTTAGACTCTCCTGGTTTCCTGGCTGTTTTCTCAGAGCTGATTGTTCCCAAGGGATAACACACCCACTTTCTCCTGCTGGTCAGCAGCTGGTAATGGCATTTTCCTCTTGTCAGCCCGAGCTCCCAGACCTGCGGATGGCTGAGGGGCTGGGGGAGCCGGGTGGCAGCCGTGCGTTCGCTTTTCAAGCAGGTTAAAACGCTTAATGAGGGTGATAATTAAGGGCAGGGGGGGTGTGTGTGAGAAACGTTTGTGGCGCCGATGAACAGGCCCAGGCAGACCCTTCAAGGGAGCTCAGTTTGTTTACCCTCTTGCAAGAATGGGTGACCTAACCAAGCAGGCACACCCATAGGCAGGTGAATAACGGGTTTATATTCCCTGTTCCCAGCCCAAAGTTCCCTCCCCTATTTCCCCACTCACTGGGCACTCCAGGGCTCACAGCCCCTCCAACGCTTCCAAGTATCCCATAAATTTCCCGCCCCTGTTCACACATCCCATCCTAGCAGGTCACTTTTTACCTTTTAAGGTAAAATTCTGACCTTTCTTGTCCCCTGGGCTGCCCCCCCCAATTGACAAACCTGCTGGTGTCACCTGCCCCGAGCAGCAGGACAGAAGGGGCTTCCTTGGGTCTGATCTTGGGCCATAAACCCTGCTCCATGTTGGGATCCCCAGGTGGAGCCCAATTCACTCCCTCAGTTTCTTGGGCCATCAACCCCTCCTGGTGTCCTTGGAACGTGCAGATACCTCACCTACCTCAAACAAACTATGTATTTAA